CCAAGAGACAAAAAATTAATAATGACAGCTTATTTTGAAAATCTGACTACGCCACTGGATTCTACGTGAAGAAATGTATGAGAAACTGTTTTCACTTCTTCTGTAATTTGAAAGATAGCTGAGATACAGGAGTGGTCCGAAAATGCAACATTTAAAATTACTCCTTGTATCCCAAAAACCAAGCAGGCTATGAATATTTCGTTTGCGGCATCGTGAGTTCCACAGAAAAGTTGCAGAAACCGCAGATCTCCTTCTTGAATAATAAGTGAGGTATCCCGTGAGGACATCGGAAATGGGACAGCTTGTACATAATATAATTATGAAATGATGTTGCAGTATTTTACAATTATTTCATTCTCGAACATTCTGAGGTTGCCGTGTACAACTTTAGTTTTGTATAGACAAACTTGCTGTTTCTGTGAAATCATTGCACTTTACTGTCGAGCAGCGACATCTCTGAGTCTCTACCTGAACTATGGCGTGTCGCTGCAGTGCAGTTTTCTGTATCATCTGAATCTCATCCTGACGGGATACAATCCGATGATTTACCGTCCGATAGAATACGGTGTCGACGAATTACGGTTTCTATGAGATACGGTGCTGCTAAATTACCAATTCTATGAATGTTCATTATGATAGATTAACGTTGATGAAATACGGATCTGATAAATTATCATTCCTATGGAATACGAATCCGATGAGATACTTGTTCTATAAAATACGGGTTTGACACATTACTGTTTCTATAAAATACGGATATGATAAATTATCATTTCTATGAAATACGGGTCTGACAAATTACAGGTTCTATGAAATACGGATATGATGAATTACCGTTTCTATGGAGTACGGGTTCGATGAATTACTGATTCTATGAAATACTGATTTGATAAAATACCGATTCTATAAAATACGGTTTCTATGAAAAGTTGTTATGACCAAATACGATTATGATGGTTTATTGGTTCGATGAAATACGGTTTTGACGAATTACGGTTTCTATGGATTACGGTTATGACGAATTATCGTTTCTGATGGAATACAGTTCTGATAGATTACCAATTTGATGAAGAACTAGTACGATAGACTGATGTCGCGACAGAATACGGATTTGATAAACTACTGCCTCGATAGAATATAGTTCTGATAAGATACAGATATGATAGAATAATGACTCGTTTCAATACCATTTCGACATAAAACTGTTTGATGATTTACGTGTTGAAATTTTATATTTCGATGAAGTACGGCCCGATGTTTTACAATTTGATATTTTACGGTTCTACAGAATACAGTGTCGATTCTATACTATTTTGACGATATACCAATTCGATGAAATATTTTTCTATGGATTTGAATTCGATACTTTATATTTTGACACATTAGGTGTCCCCGACTGCACTTAGGTCGACAGTGTGAACTCTGAGATTTTGAAATATTCGAAAAGATATATCATCAATTCCTGGGGCATTTTTGTTTTCTATATCGTTGATTACATTCCTGAGCTCACTGATACTGGTATTCGAGATATGAAAGATGACATTGTTGGTTGATTTCATATACATCAATGGATCGTGGCTATTAGTGATGTCTTTGGTTAAGCTTTCTGCTATATATGCTACAATAATAGTTGTTGAGCGCGTAAGGTTGCAATGTTATGTCCTGCGGTATCGTCCGTTCACCTCTCAACTCATTCATAACCTGCCAGTACTCTTTCGAACTTTTTTGCGGAGACCCCAATACCCTGAGTTATCCAATTTTTTTCTTTTTTGACTGATTCTTAGAATTGGAATCGCTTTATCGAAATGTGTTTTGAATGTTCCATAAACTTGATTGAATGGATGTAGAAGTGAGTTTGAATTCATATGTTCTTCCCAATTCGTGTTCAAGCATAGGTCATGGAACTTCCTGGAATTTGTTCTGCTCCATAGTCCTCTACTGTAGAATTTCTTGCTCGAGTCAGTGATCATCAAGTTCAATCTACTGTCAACTGCCTCATAATCAGATAATCCTGAAGAAATCATGGTACAAGAGATGACATCTTCAATATTAGAGCACAAATAATCAATAGTAGTTGCACTGTGTTTGGATACTCCAGTTAGTTCAGTCACCAGCATGTGCAAGTTAAATAAGTTCAGAAGATTTTTGGGTATTTGCATATTTGCGATTTCTGTATCACTATAATTTATATTCAAATCACCTGCTAAGATAATAGGAGCTGCGGTAGCGGGAATGTTAACGACAAATATTCAAGTTTTTTAGAGCACAAATAATCAATAGTAGTTGCACTGTGTTTGGATACTCCAGTTGGTTCAGTCACCAGCATGTGCAAGTTAAATAAGTTCAGAAGATTTTTGGGTATTTGCGTATTTGCGATTTCTGTATCACTATAATTTATATTCGAATCACCAGCTAAGATAATAGGAGCTGCGGTAGCGGGAAGTGTTAACGACAAATATTCAAGTTTTTCAAAAAATTGTTCAACGTTTGAGGATGGCGCCCTATCAGCCTAATTAGCAATTCATTATTCCAATTAGCAATATTCGATTTATCACCGACTTTGTGTATAGGTATAATGATCGCTGTCCCGAGTGCTGGGGAAATGATTTCAGTGGCTAAACACAAGTTGATGTGACATAAAGGTAAAGGTATATACATCGACAGTAGTTTGATTACTTTATCTTCCATTCAATCTAGACCCGGTGTTTTTTTCGTTTTCAATAAGAAAATTTGATTCCTTATCTCTGATTCAGAGATGGGAGAATTTAATATGAAGATCAGCCTTTCAGGCAAAAAACGATTATAACAATTGTATCTCCTCTCTTTTCGAAAACTAAGACTCCGTTGAAAACACTGGAAAAAACCAATGTGATATATTCCCTGTCTCAATTGATTGTGGCTTGGTTTGCATTAGTCGAACTTCGAGGAATTTATCAGGCCATCACACCTCTCACAAAAGTGATTGCAATTGCAACAAAAAAATATGTCCTTGAATCTAATCATCACATGACTTTAAGCAATGTCAAAATTGTAGCTAATGAAAATAACTATGTTAAACGCGAATATTCAGAAATGGTTTCCATTAATAAATAACTCTCCAGAATCGACATGAGATCTGAGGAAATCTCAATACTGTTTATAATTACTCATCAGAGATTGAACGAAATAATTTCATTGCAAATAAATTCCCTACAGTTTTTCAAACCTAATGATTCAAAATTATTAAAGTGAAAATATCCCACTGCTCACCTGTTTTCTCTATAATAATTTTATCTATACCATTTTTTATATACAGGGTGACCCAGGGTTAAACCGCCAAACGTTTATGATCAGTTTTTTAGGCAAAAATAAGACTTTTTCTTTCTATAAGCATGTGTTTTAACTTGCTTCATTTTAGAGATAAGGTGTCAAAGTTTTTAGAAAAAATAAGTTTTTCATTAATTACTCAAAAACCTTCAGGCTGATTTTGATAAAACTTGGCATGGTCATTTGAGGTGATAAGGAGCTCCTATTTACTGTTATTTTGTTTCAGCAGTATTTGTCCTAATATCAGTCAGATAGTTTTACTCGGTTTTAACCTGCTACATGCAGGGAAACGTTTTTTTTTTATTTTCTCGAAAATGAATAGAGATAATGAACAAATTGATCAGACAAAAAAATTGTATTTTTGAAAGGTTAATTTAAAAAATGAACATTAAAATGAAACAGTGGCATACAATAATTTATCCTAATATTAGATAGATTACCCTCTGGGACGCTACTGGAAATAATAATTTTATTCTAAGTGAACAGTAAACAGGAGCCCCTTTGTTACCTCAAATGAGCACACCAAGTTTTATCAAAATCAGCCCAAAGATTTTTGAGTAATTAATGAAAAACTGATTTTTTCTAAAAACTTTGACACCCTATATCTCTAAAATGAAGCAAGTAAGGACACATGCTTATAGGGAAAAAAAGTCTTATTTTTTCCTGAAAAACTGATCCTAAACGTCTAGCGGTTTGACCCTGGGTCACCCTGTATGTCTTGATAAAGGAAATAAACATTTCCGGATGCTCGGCTATTTAACGAAGAGTTCTCATTCAGGGCAAAAATGTTGATGAATCCCCAACACGATGAAATATAATGATATTCTTTTCTTTTTGAATGTTTATATATATATACATACAGGGTGGCATTGAAATGAGTGCAAATATTTTAAACACTGAGGAAGCTCGACGTGTACTATAGAATGGCACTAATCAAAAAAATTGAGGGATCAAAATGAAATTTGAGGTTAGACCCCTCATTATACCCAAAGTTCTACACTGTAGCAAATCTGACGTCTCCTCTGTTCAAATTTCCATGCGGTAGGCACAATCACGCGGAGTTCATTCATTTAAATTGTTTTAAAGTGCCGTACTTGATTTTTTTTTTCGTATTCCTTAGACTGTATCATATTAATGTGCTGAATATCTGTACTTATTTCAAAAACACCTTGTATATATCCATTTTTCAATATTCGTGAATAATCTGAGAATATTCATCCTCAATACTTCCACCCAATCAAGGGATTCGAATTTTTTTTATAGACCTCCAATCGCAGATTCGTGATTAGGTTTTGTCAATTCACAATTTCTTTCCACGTCCTCTATGATGAATATCAATTTGTCATACATCCGAAAATATTCAAGTTGGTTCCTCCATATTTTCTTCAATGTCTTTATCAATTTTCAGTTTCATGCTACTTTTAGTTCTTCATATAAAAATCGCGTCAACCCATGAAAATATACCCTGAATAACTGAATACATAAGTTTCATTGTAGTAATTATTGTCAAGTAATATCACAATGTTCTGAATATTCGAAATAATTTTGTTGCTTCATTGTTAACGAAATTGTGTTGCCGAGTCCGTCAGGACCTTGAAGGGCATACCTTCGTAGATAATCGACACCCGTAGTGTCATGGGCCAACAGTTGATAGTGACTTATTATCAAGAACTGTAAAACTGTTTTATTTATAGGAGTTGGTCACATAAAGTTTTGGAAGATGGCTACTACATTCACGGGTCTCAAATTGAAAGGTGAACTAGGAAGATTTGGGAAAACAGAATATTCCGACATTCTAGGTGTCCTACCAATGCCTGATTCGAAGGTAACGTTTTTTCTGCATTTTTATAACTTTAGTTCCAGTGCAATTCCATCAAATCTCAGACATTATGGAGATCATCATTCACAACACTGATTAACTGCTATTATTTGATTCAACTAATTACAAATTAGAAGTAGAGTGTACGAAGACATCTGAAATCAATTTGGTCACAGGTAGTCAATAACCACTTTCAATCTCCAAATTCCGGTTCAGATCTCAGAATATCGACTTCGATCTCCAAATTCACATTGAAACCTCAGAATACAAGATGATGAGATCTACAAGCTCGGTATACTAATTCATCACCTCTATTTGAGGTGAAAAGTTCAATGTATGTCCTGTTAAGTACACTATCAAGAACCATTTCGTTTTTTTTTCATTCAATAATAATAACAGATGGAAGAAACCTATAGATTTCCAATGGAAGATCAACTATAATTCGCAGAATATACCACAATCAGATATTTCAATATGAACAATTAATTTTGGATATCCCAATATCGATACATCCAATATGATAATCTTCTATTCAGGTTGTATCAGGCTGCGAATGGGGAAATATGCTTCTATGGGATGGTGGACTTATAACGCTGGAGATATTCAGATCCCTAAGAAGGAAATGTCATGATGCACCGATAGTACAAATAATATATAATGAAGGAGAACTTTGGACAATTTCTTTGGATGGCCACGTTCGTATATGGTGGTATGAGAAAATTGATCATGCTGATCCACCAGATGATGATCGAGTTTTACTTCTGGACCCCTCTTATGACTTTTATACACCAGGATTGATGTTGTACTGTATTGAAAAAAGATTCGTTGGTGACTCCAATGACAGCTGGTACGTTGCCCAGGTAAGATGAGTTTTTAGATTTTCTTGAAAATAATTTCGAAAATTTAACTTGATGAATTCATCGGTTATTGAATCATCAAATTCCATGTTGTTGTTTGAAGAACATCCATCACGAAGTTGTTTTTTTGATGTATTAACCGCTTCAATTTTGGAAACACCTGGTATAACCTCAATGTCAGCCATGGAAAGGTGAAGTTCCACGAGAAAATTCTATCAAAAAATTGATAGAAAGAGCAATTTTCTTCAGAAAAATGATCGTACATAGACTGCTAATGAACTTCTTTGAATGTCTCAGCCACTCAAAGGATCTAACTCAATATCAAGTATTGCAGAACATGATATTACAGGAAATGAGACTCATATCAATCTGTTAGGTTAGGTTCTATGTAAGTGGAGTGAATAACGCCCCTCTACCGCGAAGTTTATTGCCTATATGTACAGGGTGTTTTATGATTGATCGAGAATATTGCAGCTTTACAATCCTAAGCTCTAAATATAAAGATTTTACTCAACTCACATAGATATAACGTGTCTCCTGTCTGTTATTATCAATTATTTTCGAAATTTGATTTATTATTTTTATTATTTGAATTATTAGGTTATTATATTTATTTAGTTGATCTGGATTGATGTTTTATTTGCGTAATAAATGCGATTCGATGATCCAATATATCAACATAATGAATGAACTCGTTTTCGAATGAAACACCCTGCAACTCAGACACACTTTATCTAGAAGATTTGGGTTGAATCTTCATATTTTGAGCACAGGTTCCTATAGTTGGAGTATTTCCAATCAGTAATGGAACACCATATTATTTATAGAATAGAATTTAAAATAGAATAGGATTTATTTAACCACGTATGCATAAATACATTTGTAGCAAGTCAAAAGTGTGGTACAGATAATTGGGCGTACCTATTATACAAAACATTAAACAAAATAAGAGTGAATCAGTAATCTAATATAAAATATGGATGAAGGTTAATTAGTAGGACTAATAATCATTATAAGTAAAAGTTAAGAAATCCCAGTGGATCAATAAAATACAAGAAATTAAAATGACATAATACTACACTATATACATAGACACAATATAGAGTACAGACGAACTATCAGTAAAGGTTCAGGTACCTAAATGAATGGAGTCTCCATATATTCCTGAGTTGAACAAAAGGCTTTTTCAATAAGGAGCTCCTTGATTGTGTTTTGATAACTGTAGATATTCAAGTTTTTAATGTGTGATGGAAGTTTGCTATATATGTTAACGTCCAAAGTGTTGCGTGTAGATGTTGTTAGCTTAAAACCTTGGAGGTCTAAGGTGTCCTGCATTTCTTGTTGGATAGTTGTGGATGCTTGCATGGGTCTCATATGTGTGGATATTTTTGCGGAAATGTGTTAAGGTGTTTAATATGAATAGCGATGGTGAAGTTAAAATTTTGAACTGCTTGAATAGTGGTTTGCAGTGTTCGTCATATTTCACCCCAGCTAGAATACGGAGTGCTTTTTTTTGCATGCGAAAAGCTCTAATTGGATAAGTCGAATTGCCCCATAGTAAAATTCCATATGAAAGGTGTGACTGAAATAGGCTGTGATAAGACATAAGTAATACTTCCATACTCAACACTTTCTACATCTGACGAAGTAAATAGATCTGGGTAGCAAGTTTTTTGCAAAGCTGATCTAAGTGATTTTCCCATCTCAGACCATCATCAAGAACAATGCCTAGTAATTTGTATGTTGATTAGATATCAGATTGTTTTTTGTTGAGATCAGAATTTTTTGCGTTTTGTTTTCGTTAAGTTTCAGCATGTTTGCGGAAAACCACTCTTCTGCTTTCTCTTCAACTCTGTTGGTAGTTTGCATGAGTTCTACAGCACTAGTGCCAGCCCGCAACATCGTTGTGTCTTCTGCATAACATACACAGATGTTAGGCAGTAAGTGGGTAAAAATGTCGTTGATGTATATTACAAATAGTATGGGACCGAGAATAGAGCCCTGAGGAACTCCGTGTTTTATATGCCTAACATCAGAGCAAGAATTATCTATACAGACGGATTGCTTCCTATTGGTTAAGTGATGAGTATATGAGTTTAGGTGGAATAAACTTGAGCAGAGTTCATCATTGGAACTCGTTTCTTACTACAGGATGTTAGTGAATAGGTGGGACGAACTTCAGGAGGTGAATTCTTGTGACATTTCGTGGTATAAAGTTAATATGACAATGTTTCCTGACTTGCATTGATTTGAGATACAGGATGTTGAAGTTGGCAGTATTAATCATTTTCACTCTTATCCCTCCTGTATAAGCTTCCATGGTGCAAAAATTCAGTATGAAGACTGGAAAAATCACCAAATTTCAAAATAATTCTCATTGAGGTTATTGTGTAATGTCAATGGGTGTGTTGAGAGCACATTCATTAAAATTCGAAAGAAATCCGAATCTTCATTGTTTTCCCAAGAACTAAGCAAGAAATGAAAGGAGATAAGGAAGTAGCTAGTACACTTGTTCAATCTAATAAAGATATGGGACTCAAGAAAGCAGTGGCGTATTGAAATTTCATTGGAATTGATGAAAAACATTCGGGTAATGAATAAAAGTACGATGTGTCATGTAAATATCAACAGGTACCTTGTATCTCGGAATTGAAGAAAATTAGGACAGATGTTCATGTACAATCCATTTATATTTGTCTGATTGATTCACATTTAATCAGCTGATGAAAGGCTTATATATACAGAAAGTCTCAGATTTGTGGAGACTGACTTGATTCCATATATCATCATAAGTTTTTTGGAGCTACTGCACAGCGGACAACAATGTTTGTTTTGAATATCTACGATATAGTAATTATTGGCGATGAAAAATTGAGATTCAATGCGATTGATTCGAATCGAATCGATACCTACCATATACGTATTAATAAACAATACGGATCATAACGGGTGCCAGGATGAAGCCAAAAATATGAAACAAATGAATATCCATAAGGATTTGGTGGCATGATACTGTAACGACCCAAGCCAGTTCGCTTGGTAGAATATTTCATCATGATCAAGAGTATTGATTCATTTTGGAAGTCATTTTCTCATTTGAGGATCATAGTTAGTGATTCAGTTCATGACTCCATTAATGAGGGTTCAATTTCTATGAGTAGTTGCATTCTTATCAGAGGAATAAGTAACAAATCCTCACGAGATCATGAATTCTATCACTCAAACTTTGGATTGTATCCCAGGTATGGTAAGACCTTGTTGGATACTGGATTATGCAGTGTTGTGCTTTGTTACAACATTAGAAAGCTTGGTGAGTAATCTGGACTTCGATTTGTATCGATTTATTCCAGCTACAAAGGCAGGAAGAGTCTGTTTTGTGGAAAAAACTCTACCAATTCACGAACGTTTGACGCTGTCAGACGTTCATAAATTCACTTCAAATCTGAAGTAGAACCACAGGGACAGACTTATAAGTATGTGAAAACAGATACCTGATCTTTGGACATCGTATGTTCACAGCTAGAAGCCTCATACTGCAAGGGAGCACCCTGAAATGGGGCCGAAAAGGGGCCAAATCTAGGTTTGTTTCAATAAAAGAATATCAGTAACCATGGAAGTGGTCCTAGTGACAATCACAACAAACGGTTTCCCTATAAATAGCAGCCCGAGCCGCGATCTCAGCAGAACATTTCCAACCTTCGAAGAAGCAACATCTCCAGAAATAAAAGGTAAGAATCCATCATAACAAAACTGTTTGAAATTTGAATTCGTATGTGTTTATTTGTTTATCTGAATTTATTTGACATGGACATGACAATGACATTAGTGACCTAGTGACCGTCCGCTCGGTGCTGGAAGTGACTAGAGCACCGACGGCCGGTACAGACAGAGCGATATGGGGTATTCTTTTAAAATGAACTGTGTTGTGCTGCAATTCTGTTTATCATTGTTTATTATACGGAGCATTGATATGGTTAGGCATATATGATGAATATTTGTTGTCTTTCTTCACAGTTATATGATTTCACATAATATGATCTTTTAGCTTACACTTACACTACAATCCGACCGACACCTGATCGCAGTCGGACCCTACACTTTTTACAATCCGACCGACACCTGATCGTAGTCGGAACTTACACTTACACTACTATCCGATCGACTTGGTCGCAGTCGGACCCAACACTTCACCACAAATAGGTTTGTTCTTTTGAAATGAACTAGGTGTAGTGCATTTGAATTTGAAATGATGGTATTATTTAATTATGTGTGATGATATATAATTCACACTTGAGTTCACATATGTTCTTGTAGCTTACACTTACACTACAATCCGACCGACACCTGATCGTAGTCGGACCCTACACTTTTTACAATCCGACCGACACCTGATCGTAGTCGGAACTTACACTTACACTTCTATTCGATCGACTTGGTTGCAGTCGGACCCAACACTTCACCACAAATAGGTTTGTTCTCTTGAAACATCTGCGACTTCTAGAAATAATAAAGATTTGCCTAAACATTGTTATGTGTTTTCCTTCAGAGCGAATGGGCAGAAATAATATTATTTCAGAAACTAATTCCTTATCTTATTACGAGTTCTAGGAAACATGGAAGATGACCAAACCTCTACCTCCTTTATAGCCGAAAGAACGGGTTGAAGGATCAGGTCCCAGTCTGAGTACTATCTCAGGACTTACTCAGCACTCAGTCTCTGATAGATAACGTCAAGTCCAAATAGAGTAAACTTATCATATGATCTCTTTTGGGTAATATTGTATACTTCGCTGTTGCTTAGCCTTGACCAGTTTATCTACGTAACTCGAAGTGCTTATAGATGACAATGAGTGGTCAAATTGCTCGATGGTACTGTGGGAGCGTCCTCTCCTTACTTTCATATTAACAGTAGGCATACTGATTTGGACGTCCCTGTAGTTGGTGTACACCGCGGAGGTGGCTTGCAACCACTCTTATTTTATCCCGGCAGGAGACGATCCTTC